AAAATCTTCTCTTGAAAAGGCTCTTGCACAGTTGCCTAGTTACAGCATTGTTATGCTTGTTATGGATTTCACCTTCTGAATAATAATGAGGTGTATTTTACGAGTTCCCTGTTTATAACGTAAGCCTCGATATAAAGAGTGTAAGGCAGGAATATAAAATAATACCAGAAAAAGCAACATAGGAAAATGATTTTGGGTGCCAAGGAAGAGGTTTTGTCTTTTTTGACATGAGAAAAAACACAAACCTATCCAGATATATGGAGCCTTGTCTGCTTTTAATCTCTACCAGCACAGCAAGTAGAATTTGCACGCAGACAATGGGCTCTGTGATATTGGAGAGAAATTTTTGTCTATACCTCGAGAGTCAGTATTGCCCTCTGAAGTAATTTTTATTCATAAAATGATTTAGAACAGTAAAAGTTGAATTTGTGAAATAGTTCTGGGCATCATAGGTATACAAGTATTTAGCTCTGTATTTTATTGGTGGTGTTTATATAATCTCTTACATTACACATTTTCAGAAGTTTTGGATGGAAAAATGAGCTCCTCCTTCAGCTAATATTAGGAGCTATATTTTAATATAAAGCAGGAAGGAGATGCCATTATGAGCTCAGTCTTTTGAAGGGAATAGCATGATGAGCAGAGATATGCTAAGTTGAGGAGGTAGTTGGAAAAGTGGCTATAAAAATGGCATTGTAGGTTAGTTTATTGTAGAGGGTGCTGGTAGTGATGCCTGTTGTTATAGTTAAAGTTGCCTAACACTTCCGATTATAAGACACTGTTTTCAGTTGCTTATAACTTTGCCAAACTTTACTTATTCAGGCTGAACTTTCCATGCCTGATGTCTGCTTCAGGCTGAATATTTTTTGAAAGTTTCAGCAAGATCATTTCTGCCATTTCTAAGAATAAAATTATGAAAAATACTTTGCTTTGTCTGTGTTAGAAAATTCTTACACCATTTCGTTAAGAAGCTCTAGCACCTCCAAGCTTTGCAGCACTGACTTGGAATCGGGCAGAGGGCTGATCCTAGTGTCAGGCATGTGCCTTTTGCCATCCTTGTGAAAATCTGCCAACGCTTGGACAAACAATAAGCCTCTTAAAAAATCATAGTTTGCACATGCTCAGTAGAGGTTAGTTAGTTTGACAGCAAAATTCTCGGAAGATTCTGTCTGCACTGAATGTGCTCTATCCCCACATAGTTCCATTGTGTCAACTAGACCGTTCGTACGCTATCCCACAGAGCGACTGAACATGATCCATCCTCGCACAATGGGGTGAGCATAGGACTGAGACTGGAGCTGAGGGAACAAGAGGTGAAAGATATGTAGCTACTAAACACACTTCTTCTGGAACGTCACATTGGACCCAGGATTCCCGAGATTCAACATTCCTCTGCTGTCAGTAAATAGATGGTAAACCGACTGGGAAAACGTCTTCTTGAGTGATTAACTGATATAGTGGATGACATCCTACTATGCATATCAGTTACTATGGTAGCTCAAGTAGAGGAGGTCTGTGCAGTAGGTCTAAAGGTTCCAGTTTTGCTGATAACCATATTGACCCCCATATAGGTCATGATGGATTATTTTTTTACTTTGCTTTTTAAAAAGTAGGAAATTGCATGTAAAAATAAAACAGTATAGTAAAATAATGTTAATGTTGCAAAGTCAAGCACTCAAAAATTAGGAAAGTTAGGAACTGCTCTGGATATGAATCAGGGTTGTGTAGTGAATGAGGTGATTGTCTGCGTGACCCCTGCCTCATATGTTGTGGAAGTTGGAAGGTGTGCATTGAATGAGGCAGGTTACTGCAGGAAGAGAAAGGAGCCATCTCATGATTCAAGTAGCTGAGTGCCACTCTGGAGAACTGAGTTCTCTGTCTGCCTCTGCCACAGAGTTCCTGTGGGATGTTGGGCATTGCCAAGCCATGCAGCATTCCATGTACATGAGGAGAGGGAAGTAAACCCACTGTTCCTTGGCTCACAGATCAGATTAAGATCTCTTCTTCCACACTGGCTGCTGCTTATATTTTTGTGCACTTCTCCACTGAGCATTGCTTCATACCCCTTTCATACAGAGGCAAGTATCATTCCCCCCAATTTACATATAAGTTAAGAGAGGTTGAACAAGGTCACTTCTGGTGAAACTGGGACTAGAACCCAAGTCTCTACTATGACAGGCCCAAGTCTTGCCTACTTTGTCATACTGCCTCTTCTACAGAATGTTGCAAATCTGTGTACTTACAACTACTTTTCTAACTTCTAGGTACACTTCCTTCACAGAGGTAGGAATAGAATGCAAAAATCCTGATCTCCAGCATTCTAGTGCTGCTTGTCAGTGGGTTACACAACAATTTGCTGAAGTGTCACAACCTCCCCAAAGGGCCTGGTCCAAATAGAGAAATAACACTTCTTTAGCTCAAGTGTTAGATTGTCTGTGCTGGGAATTGCACGGTTCAGAAATTAAACCTTAATGCTGACCTGGGGAGGGTGAGAGTTGGGGAGGGTTTCTTCTGTTTGCACATGATGGAATTTCTTCCCCTTCCCCATTTTTCTCTTTGAATAACTAGCTTATTTAATTCACAGTGAGAAAACATCCTTAGACACTTTTATGGTTTAAAAAACATCCTATGTGATAATTGTGTTGCAACAAAACATAGGTGATCCACATTTTGGTGCTTTGTCACTCTGAAAAGTGTGAAGGGTGAGAGTATTAGTAAAATAAGTAGACACAGTATGGTTTTTGAGTTACACAGCAGAGCAAGAGAGTGCTGTTCTTGCAGTCAACCTTCCAGTGTAACTGCACTTTTAAATCCTAGGACTGTGAACAAAGGGAAGCCTGGGCAACTGCCATCCTAAAGGAATATGTAAATAATATACTAATTTGTACTGTTTTTCATTGTTTGGATTGTAAATATATAGTGTGTTGTTTCAGTGGATAAAAATCTGTGGCAAATGAAATACAGGATGGGGTATGCAGTATTGGTATTAGCAGCCTAAAATGGAAAATATACAGGAGTTAGTTCTGCTATTTGCCTTTCACATTGCAGCTACTAAATGGATTTAATGGTGAAGAAAGTGCAGTATACACAGTATTTTACCGAAATATCTGGGGAAGAAATTCATATGCTTTCAAAATGCTTATAAACAAACCTGACACCTCTTCAGACTGTACTCATTGCCATCTTCTGTTGGCTGCAGAAGACTCTTAACAATAAAGTTGGGTGATACAGATTCTGTTGTGAAAGGTTTTAATAAGTACTGACAAGAACTAATGCTCTGCAAAAGTCCATGACTATTACGGAAGGAAAGCTAAAGAGTTTTCTGCTAACATGACCACATTGGATACTAGAGCTACTGAAGTAGACTTTTAAATTAATTAGCAGAAAATCTTCAGTAAATTCAAGCAAAAACTGAAGAGAATAACAGGTTGCATAAAACATGATAAAATCTGATCGTATGATAGAGACTATTGGAATTACTGGAAAATCAAATAAAATGTAGAAATATTAGATTTAAAGATGTGCCAGTGGCCAGAGAAGTGCCAGATCCTCTTGTATTTTGTTAAAATTATGGTTGGTTTATTTCACTTTGACACAGAAAATTATTCTGTATTTGCTGAAAAAGATACAAAATTCCTTCTAGACAGAGGCAGGGAGATCAGTAATGGAGCTATAATTGCAACTTTTGTGGTTTATAAAAAGAGAGAATTTTGAAGGCTGTTAGAATAAAAAAGATACTGCAGTATGAAGATGTGATCTTTGTCCGCATACTGAAAATAGGGGGGTGGGGAGAATTAATTGTGGGTTTGTTTTTTTTAAAGGCAGGACTCTCATGGTGTCCTACAGGTATCTTTCTGGCTTTCAGAAAAGTTGTTACCGGTGGCAATAAATCTTATTTTTGGGGACAGTAAATCTGGTGCAGCCGGGCTGGAGTGGGGGGAATATATGCTTTGGAGAAGGATTGTATTTGAAAATTGACACTCGAGTATTGTTTCTCTCTCTCTTTTTTCCCCCTTTTTGTAAGATTGTGGGCATGTTATGTTGCATTGGCATGTCACAGGATTCTTTATAATGTTGTTCTACTGCATTTCAAAATTTAGGCACTAATCCTGCAGTTATTTCTGTAGCAGTGCATCCCTGTGTTATCAGTGTCTGACTAGAGGACTTAGTGCAGCAAATGTGTTGATCAAGACTGCATTGAGTAGCATGAGGTGCACGGCTATGTCCATTAAAGTAAATGATGCTCCTCAAAAGCACAGCAGTCTGTCCACGTGCTACACAGAGCATATTAGGGGCCTCAGTCTCTTTTTTTTTAGATTATCTTTTCGTAGCTTTTGAACTGTTGATATTTCCAGGGACACTGATGATGTTTTCAGGTGCAAGGTATTGCCTCCATTTAAAAAAAGATTCTGCATCTCGCACCCTAAGAATCTGCTCATTTTCAAAACAATGACTGTAGTGTAGTTAAAATAACTTTTCTGAATGTCTGCTGAAAGCCAAACCCTGGTCACTGGCTTTCTCCAAACAGTCATGAATGTGGTACCCAGAATGACTGTATGATTTGCACTTTGCTTAGCTGTGCCTGTCTGTATCATTTGTGTCTCCAGGTAGGATAGTAAATGGTAATATAAACCCTGCTGTTTGTGAGCCTTTTAAGTTGGAGGTGAATAAATGAGGTGATTTAGTTACTATGGCAACAGGTGCCTTAAAATATATATTACTCTGTTGGCTTCACTGCGTTTACACCAAAATGAGTTTGCCCTGTGAAGTCGTATCAAATTCTTGGTTCAAATAGTTTATAGTATGTGACCCTAGTGCTACAAAGAGACCTTCACTGGTATAAGGCTCTGCCCATGAATATCCATTGCAGCACTGGGGCCTATTTTTTATCGCTATGTCCCTCTCCAATTTTTATTTTATTTTTATTTATTATTTTTTTTGAAACTGCAACTAGAAAAATGCTTTTATAATACAGTATATATACTTTTCACCTTTAACAGAAATCTGGTTAAGAAGTACTGTCCCAAACGTTCATCAAAAGATGAAGAGCCCAGGTAAAATATATGTATTTAAAGTTTTACATATATAAATAGCAAATACCACTGTATATTGTTTAATCTTTAATGGAACTTTTTCTGTGTAATATTTTTGACGGATAAATTAGCAAATGAATGAAATCAGGACCTCCTCTGTTTGGGTTCTTGTTCCATTACAATTAAATATCACACTTTACTGTTCCCACTATTGATGTCTTAAAGTGATGATAGTGTGGTAATTTGTATTAGCAGCTTTCCAAATTAAACTTCATTTAGCATAAGAGTTTGAAAGTGAAGTTTTAGTGCAATATATATATCTGGCATTACTTTTATAGGATTGGGAATAATTTGGCCATAATGTGTGTGTTTCTTTTTCTTACAATTTTTATTAACCTTTTGAGAATCCTGGGAACGTGTTACCAGTGCAGCTCTGCAGACTTGGGTTTTGATTGTGTGCTGAATTGTCATTTATTTTTGGCTAGTGAAACTCAAGTGTGTTACTCTGGCAACTTGCTTTGCCTCTGAGAAGCAAAGTAGATTTGGATGACCATTTGTGGTAGTAACACTGCATGTTAAGCAACTCCATTGTCAGTAGTGTAAAGATGCATCTACACTGCAGTGGGGAGATGTGATTCCCAGTTCAGGTAGACGTACACGCTTGAGCTAGCATGCTAAAAAATAGCAGCGTGGCTGCGGTGGCACAGCTGGCATCTTGTGCTAGCTGCCTATGTATGTATGTAAGATCTCCCATGGAGTTGTCCTTTGGAGGCTGGCCTGAGCCACCACCAATGCTGCCATTTTTAGCACACTAGTTCCAGCAGAGCTAGCACATGTAAGCCTACAATCACTCCCAACTACAGTGTAGACATAGCCTAAGAGAAGTGCTTGTTTTGCTATCCTTGTCATTGATGATTTTTGATGTCTGATTAAAACACAGTGCTAGTTTTTAAAGTATAAATAATTGGACTATGAATGAAAGAATGGTGAAAACCTAAGGATATCATGTGGGATGGATTTCACGTTGCAGCCAGGGAAGTGCTATGCAGAAATGCCTTGGGGAACCCCACCAGAAACACCTCAAGTTCTATTCAAACCCACCTCAAAGAAATCTGGACTGCAGGAGTCAGGATTTCCAACTCCACAATGGAATTCAGGCCCTGCCAGCTTTAAAAAGATGGCAATATTCCATAATTAAAGAGAGATGCATATTTTAATATGGTGACTGTTTTTGTTTCTTTCCTCCCTTCCACACACACTTTCTACCCTTATTTTTGCCCCTCCCCCTCCCCCTTTTTAGTGCCAGCCATAGTGGCACCTTACCTCCAGCCAAGAGGTGGGCAGGCAAACAGGCAGCTGTCTCCAGAGCTGATAGCAAACTTGTTCTGTAGATCATCCATCGGGATGCATATGAGTGGTATGATTGGCATGTTCCACCCTCAAGACCAAGCACATCATCTCTGCAACAAGTTCAGCCTCCGAGCCTAGGGACCTAAGTCCGTTCCCAAGCTCAGGCCTCTCAGTTGGCAGCTTAGGAGATACCACTATACTGCAGGGCCTTCCAGGTAGTATTCTTATTCTTTCTTTTCCACTCCCCAAAATCCATGTTCTTATAAACTGTGTATGAAGAGACATTAGAATGTGGTACGTCTTAGGCCCAACATAGGCTTTCCCCACTGTGCATTTTCACTGTAGTTCAACATTAGTCTAAGGTTTATTTTACAGTGTATCTAATTTTAACACACTCTATGTTCTCTTAATGGCTAAATAAAGAAATCCTTAGTGAAAGTAAAAATCAATTTCACCTTGTGTTTTTAATGTGTATTTTGTCAGGTTTACATCATGTCTAGCCTTTTTTAACATCCTTAATGAGTTAAATGACTATGCAGGACAACGAGAAGTAGTAGCAGAAGAAATGGGACACAGAGTGTATGGAGAACTAATGAGATATTCTCATGATCTAAAAACAGAAAGAAAAATGGTAATTCCTATATTCTTATGCAACAATAGTGTATAAAATGACTGTTTTCATTCAAAGAATCTGTATATTTATTTGTCCAGTCAGTAGTATAAATGTGACAGTAGTTTCAATTATAAGTTTTATGTGCAACTTAATATAACATCAGAGTAGCTCTCTTTAATACATAGTTACTTGTTATGATGTTCAAAATACAAATATAGAATAGTACCCATTAATAACTTTTGAGTACAAAAATAACCTTGGTCTATAGTGCTGTTCTTGCATGGATGGTAATATCTCCAATAAAGTACCTTGATAAATTAGTAAGCAATTGACAAAGCATACTGAATGTAAACTAGAACAGAAACCAGTAATGTTAACAGTATCTGAGATTTGTGAAAATGTCTTATTTATGCCCTTACAGCATCTTCAAGAGGGGCGAAAAGCTCAGCAGTATCTTGACATGTGCTGGAAACAGATGGATAATGTGAGTTTTTCTGTTAATATTAATAGCGGACAGTTCTACACAACTGTTGCCATTACGTTTGCTTTTGTGTTTTTGATCAGTCTGTGTTTAGTGTTTAGCTGTATCACTGAATGATCACATTAGATTTATTGTTCAGTAGCCAAGACAGAATACAATGTACTTATAGTTCATTACTTAATTCATTTCTCTGTAAGTTGTTGTTCTCTGTCGGAATTACCCTTTTGGGGTATTTGGGGTAATGTGACGTAGAGAAGTAGCTTTCAAATATATTAGAATTTTCTTGAAAATAACACTCAATCCTATACCCCAGAGGCATCTACTAGCAATCCTTCAGCCTAGCAATCCTTCAGCTATCAGTCCCTTTTCTCCTAGCCTGCTCTCATTGTAACTACCTACAGTTTATCTAAGAAGTAGCTTATTTTGTGGAGCAGTGTCACTAGTTATGTTCATCTTTTCACATTTTTATAGATTTCCTGCTGCCTCCTTAGTAGTTGTAGTAGATTTTCTTAAGTTTCTGTTCTTACTAATTAACCTCAAATTAACCCAACTGTGTTTAAAGACTTGAAGGTATGTAGCATTTATTTATGCATCATTTAGGAAATCAAAGCTTTAAGTCTGTCATCAGCACTGTACTTGATCAAGATGGCTTGTAACAAAAGGTTTATTCGAGAATGCCACTATAACTAATGTGTATTATATAGTCCTTTTTTGTTTATTTCACTTTCAGTCAGTATAAACTCAGTTTAATAGAGGAATACAGGCAGAGTACTCCAGGGTTCCATTCTTTGAAAGGCCCAGTTTAAAAGGAGGCAGAACATAAACTCTACTTTCCATGAATCAGTGATACTTTTGAAGTGATATTGACACAGATTCCCCCTGTGCCAATGCACCATCCTTAGAATGTGTTGCATCTTGGTCAGATATCCTGAAACAATGGTGGAGAGATGGAAGATTCATATTTAGGAAGGCAGAGTCAGAAGAATTAAAGAAATTTTTGAAGACACATGCTTTACATAAAGAAGAGAGGATAAGCAATAGGATTTCAAAATACTTCATTTGTAAAGTGTCAAGAGAGGGTAGCAGTTGGTTGCTGAAAATTGTTCCAAAAGGTTCAACATTCTTTTTTGGAAATCTTAACTATTGTTACTAAATTTTTGGAAAGGAAGGTGCTAATCAGGAGGAAAATTACAAAAACATTTGCACTTCTGAAACATTTCCATTGAACCAGTGCCAAACGGAAGGAAGGAAGAGAGAAGGGAAATCATTAAATCATTTTAAGGTGAACTAATTTTAGAACAGAAGTGAAAACTGAGTTAATCCCAGATTTCTATGCTGAGTGGTCCCCATTTACCAGACTGAGGGACATGCAGTGCAGAAATAAAATTTTAATTGACCTTTTTTTCCCCCTTCTCCGTGAAATCCACAGGGCACTGCTCAGTTCACTGAAGATGGTTATTTAAAACTTATTTCTGTGCTGAATGCCCCTCCACTGATGGGTAAATTGGAGAGACTGTTTGTCTCAGTTTTAATTTTTAGCTTTCCAGTTCATCTTTGAAACTTCAGTATTACAAACACTAACTTCCCTCTGAATGTCAGAATAAATTAGAATTACATATCACTGCACAGGAAAAATCTTGGTGATTTTTCTGGAGTCAATCATCTGTCTTGGAAATAAAGGTGACTGAAACTGAAGAATTCTCAATATCTGCAGAGGAATATATTTCAGTCACTATGGAAAACAGCGTTACCGGTCCTGAAAAACACCATTCAGGCAGATGCTAGCACTTCATGTGCTCACATACTTTCATCATTTATTGGTGTGTATGTATCTTCCTTAATGTATTGTTTCAAGTCCCATCTAATTCCGGCTTAAAAATGAGGAATTAATAGGGCTTTGGTAAACCTGATGGGTAACAGCCTTTTCTCACCCTGGATGTTTAATAATGGGGCATAAAATAGAGCCATCAGGTGTCAACAGTCAGAGACCACTTTACAGTAAATGTGTTGAGAATTGCAGTCTCAGTAGATTGGCAATACTGACAGTGCACTTCTCTGTGAGATACTCTCAAAATATATGAAGATACGTTGTCTCTGGCTACAGAGTCTCACAACAAACCTCTGAAGGCTTAATCTATGCTGTGAAATCTTACCATATCTGACAGATTTGTGATCAGTAAGGTTAGCTGATATGATGCCAAGTATGGGTTAGTGTGGTCAGTGTAGACCAGGACGACCATTGTTCAGCATCGTGTCAGAGGGTCTAATAGTGGTTAGCTGAAACATTGCTGAACACTCTTTGTTCTGGTCTATGCTCACTGGTAAACCGTGCTCAGTGTCTTGTCAATTAACATCATTGTAACAAATTGGTTAAATAAATTTATTTTAAAATTTTACAGATGTCTGGGTCCGGTCCAGATTTGGATTTTCTTCCCCGGTCTCTCCCCTCCTTCCCCCCCCCCCCCCCCAAATCTGAGCTAAAATCTGGACCCAGCTTTTCTTTATAATTAAATTTGTCTCTGTAATTGGGTGTTCATAATTTGGTTGCTTGTATAATATTTTTAAAACCTATTTTGAACATTTCTGTGCTGGCACCCCATTAAGGTAAATGGAGCAAGTTAAAACCCCTGGAGAAAGAGTGGTTTGACTGCAGATCGAACAAGACAGCAGTGCTTTGATTTTCAAAGTGAAGGCTCCTCTCAGCCGAGATTAATGGAAACTTTAAATGGAAGCTTAGATATCTAGGTTTTGAAGTTGCTGTAACTGTCTGTTGGTTTGTCTGCAATATGGTTTTCATGATTTTTATAGAGCAAAAAGAAATTTGAAAGAGAGTGCAGAGAGGCAGAAAAGGCACAGCAAAGCTATGAAAGACTGGACAACGACACCAATGCAACCAAGGCCGATGTTGAGAAGGTAAAACCCATGACACTTCTTCCTCTCCTCCTTCTTGTTGTTACTATTATTAGAAAATGTTAATTTTTGATGGCTTTATGTTTTGTAGCAATATTTGAACAGCATAATATATCTATTTACATATTTTAGGCAATATCAAAGTAACAGTATAATTCATCTTTTAAAACTTAATGTACAGTGTAATGAGGTAGTGTGTCAGCATATTGACATATTTTAGTCTTTTAATTATTCAAAGGATGATCACAGAGCAAATTACAGGTAATGTCTAAGACAGAAGCTGTAGATGGGGTTATTCGTCTGATGTAATTTGTGGTGTAATGTGCTTAGAATCTAGTTTAATGGATTCTATTGTACTCTTCTGAACCACCTTTAGTCCAATGGCTGCAGAGGAAGTTTTTATGGCAGTTCCTAAATATGACCTGTAGATTGACATTACAAATTTAGTGGCACTCACATTCCTTCCCTTTTTGTTAATTATAGGAAGAAATGTTTGTGCCTCCACAGCTACTGTGACTAATGTTTTTATGTAATTGGTGGGAAAGCTAGTTAAAGTAATGTTACATTTCTTTTGAGAGAACACAAATGAGGCATGTTTGTACTGATGTGACTTCCCATTAGGCTAAGCAACAATTAAACCTGCGTACACACATGGCAGATGAAAACAAAAATGAATATGCTGCACAACTACAGAACTTTAATGGAGAGCAACACAAACATTACTACATTGTCATTCCTCAGATTTACAAGGTAAAACAATATTTAATACAATTAATTTCTTTATTTTTTGAGGGGGAAGAGGATTTCAAAATTTAAAGAAAGAGATCATCTTGGTAGATTAAATTGATATAAGATATCTAAAGCATATATGTCTAGGTTTGTATTAGCTTACATGTATTGTTCATAGCAATTAGATTTAGAAATGTAATTAAAATTCTGTTATAGTTTCTGTGAATATTGTTATAAATAGCAAGCTTCCTTTTGTTTGCTTAAATACCAGAATCATATTGCAAAAGAAGAAAATGTTTCTTTCAAGGACATAGATTCTGTGCAGCATTCATTTAATATAAAGTGATCAATGGATGACAACAAATGGGAAATCCCTCAAAGGTCTTGAAGTCTGTTGAAGCATTTGGGATAACACTGGGAACTTCACAGGCTACTCCTATAACCACATTGGTCGTTGGGGCACCATCATTGATGAGCAATCAACCAATTGTCTCCACCCCTGATGATTGTGTGTCAGTGCTTGAGTCTCTGCGAAGTCCATTCCTGTCCACTCTTTTATGTTGTCAATCCATCTCTTCTTCTGTCTACCTCTTCTTCTCTTCCCCTGTACTGTCCCTTGGAGGATGATCTTGGATAGGCCAGATGATCTTGTTACATGGCCATACCACTTCAGCTTGTGCTCCTTCACGGTCATCAGGAGGTCTTCATATGACCTAGCGCATTGGGTGACGATTTTACGGAAGTATCTCATCTCTACTACCTGCATTTTTCATTCAAGTTTTGTTGTAAGGGTCCATGTCTCGCACACATACAGAAAAATGGAGATGACCATTGCGTGCAGCAGTGTCAGTTTGGATTCCAGGGAGATGTTCTTATTCCTCCAAATTGGCTTTAGCTTTGCCACTGCTGCTGTTATTTGCACAGTTCTTGCCTGAATTTCAGTGATGATTGCCCCTAAATAATTGAACTGCTTCACTGTCTCCATCTGTTGTCCACTGACAGTGATATGTGAGCTGATCCCATCATGTTTGTTTGTCATCAGCTTGGTTTTCTCTGCACTGATTTCCATGCCATATTTTGTGGAGGTTTCAGCCAATTGTTTCACAGGATTGGCAAGTTCATCTTCGCTGTCTGCCAAGCCATCAATGTCATCAGCGAACCGAAGATTTGAGATTGTTTGCCCCCAGGGGTGACTGTGCATATGTGATCTTCTAGGGCATCAGTCATTATGCACTCCAAGTAGATGTTGAACAGTGTGGGCGAAAGAAGGCAGCCTTGCCGGACTCCAACAGTGGTGCAAAACCACTCTCCTATTGTGTCATTGACGAGAACTGCACTGCTGGCCTTGGCATACAGTTGTTTAATGGTAAGAATAAGCTTACGACCAACGTTGTACTTCTTCATGGTTGCCCAGAGAGCTTCGTGCCATACTCTGTCAAATGCCTTCTTGAAGTCAACAAAGACGTGGTAGATGTCCTGCTGGTGTTATAAGTATTTCTCACATAGAACACGAAGGTTGAAAATCTGTTCTGTAGTACTTCTTCCAGCACGAAAGACAGCTGTTCTTCAGCGATGATATTGTCTGCTTGTGGCTTCAATCTGTTCAATATGACTTTCAACATCACTTTGCTGGGATGGCTAATTAAGCTTATGGTCCGGTAATTTTGACACAATTGCAGGTTGTCTGTCTTTGGCAGAGTGATGATTAGTGACTGTGTCCACGTGGAGGGCCACTCACCGGTCTGCCAGATCTTGTTGCAGATCTTGGTGAGTACATCTATTACTATTTCTCCTCCGAATTTCATCAATTCGGCTGGGATGTTGTCAATACCTGCAGCCTTTCCATTCTTGAGTGATTTCACAGCTGTCTCCACTTCTTCACATAGTATTGGAAAGTCATCCTCCTCTATTCAATCTGGGCTGTCTAATATACTAGGATCTGCATTTGTCTGGTGGTTGTATAGATCAGAGCAGTAGTTTGTCCACCTATTGATTATGTCCCTTTCTTCTGTAACTGTTCCCTTCTTTGTCTTGAATTGCGTTAGCTTTGGTCCATCTTTTCTTCATCAGATCTTTTACAACTGGGAAGGCTCCTTTGCTATTTTTATTATTGATACACTCTTCAATTTTAGAGCATTGTTTTTCAATCCATATCTCCTTGGCCACCTTCATTCCTTTCTTGATCTTTCTGCCAATTACTCTGTATTTATCAGCTCCCTCAGTGCTGTTCTTGTCTCTCTTAAGTTCTCTTCTAATATCACACATTTGTAGTGTTTCATTTGTGACCCATGGTTTTGTCTTCTTACGATGTTTCCCAAGGATGTCCATTGCTGCCTCATTCATTACAGCCTTGAAATTGTTGGTCATTGTTTCTACGTCTTCCTCTAGAGCAAGCAGTGGGGCAAATTTTCTGCCGATCATTGCTTGGAATGACTCTGCAACGTTTCGGTCTCTGAGTCTGGTGAACTTTGGCCTGATGATTTTCCTTAACTGCAGCCAAAAATTTAGCATTACAAGGTCATGATCACTTCCAATATCAGCACCAGGAAAGCTCCTTGCTTTAGCTCTGTTAATCCCAGAACGAAATCGGTGCGTGCCAGGTTGATCATCTGGATGCTGTATGTGCTCCTAATGTATTTGCAAGAACCAGATTGTTATAGATGACAAACTCCAAAAGTCTCAATCCTCTCTCATTGGTTACCGCATTACAGAAAGGGCCGCAATAACCTTGCCAATCTGCCTATGCGTCAGTACCCACTTTAGCATTCCAATCTCCTTGTACAATCAGGATCTTTCTTGTGTACCTTATCAATGATGTCTTGAAGCTGACTGTAAAAATCTTCAATTTGATCATCGTTATAGTCTGTTGTAGGGGCATAGACTTGTACCACTGTCATTAAACGGTACTGCCTTTAGATGGACATGGGTCCGGGGGCAGAATAGTTCCACTGCTCCTCCTGCATCTCATAAGAGGCGACTAAAATGGGGCTGCCTGGAGAGGGATGGGCTCCACCAGGTTAGAAATTTGCCCAAGACTCACCATATGGTAAGCAAGTCAACACTGTCCATACCGGATTGATTGCAGCCCAGCTTGTTAATGACTGTGCCATCCGTCTCCCACCAGGGCAGATGCGACAAGTATACTACTGGTGTAACCCCAACAAAGAGGATCCGTGGAAGAGATAACATCACCACAGCCACATGGAATGTAAGGACATTGAGACAATTGGGAGGTTGAAAGAACGCACATCTGAAATGGTACAATACACCTGGCACCTCCTAGGAATCTCTGAGGTCAGATGGAAGAACTTTGGAGAGGTATTAACGGAAGAAGGCCATATACTCTATTACAGTGGAGAGGACAAACATGTCAACGGTGTAGGATTTCTTGTGCATAAAGATATCAAGAATTCAGTATTGGGATGCCGCCCAATGTCCAGCAGGCTTATTTCCATCCGTCACAAGCTACTACTCAGAATCAAAGTGAGAGGAAACAGAGGAAGAATGAAAACCTTGAATTCATTTACACGTTTAATAACCTGAGCAAACTTGAGATTTTCCAGGAGCATGGGAGAGGATCGCAAAAGAATTATTTATTTGAAACTCTAGGAATCCCAGGAGGAAATTTTTTTTCCTGGTTAAAAACTTAGTTTTTTTATCAGTAAAGAATGCTACCTCCAGTGGATCTGTCAATAGAAGACTAAGGAAGGAATTGTAGAACATACCTGAGACTGCAGAAATCCGTGTATTAAGCAAAGACCCAAGAGGAACATTTTTGATCATTTTTGTTTTCTCTTTTGATCAGAGACTTGGTTTATTACATTTCTCCAGGGTTAAAATACTTTTTTTTGTTATGAGAAATTACTCTTGTTTCCTGAAGTCCTCAGCAAATATGATCCCAAAGACCTAGTTTTGCTTTATTACAGTGACTTTCAACCTTTTTTCATGTGCGGACCCCTAAAAATTTTCATATGGAAGGTGCAGATCCCTTTGGAAATCTTAGACATAGTCTGCGGACCCCCAGGGGTCAACAGACCACAGGTTGAAAACCTCTGTTCTATGGTAACAAAAGCCTTTTGCAGACCCCTTAGATGTAGTCTACAGACCCCCAGAGGTCCACGGAGCACAGATTGAAAACCACTGCTTTCTAAGGCTCTTACTTAGCACTTCTTTTTATTGTTTGTTTGCAAGTGTTGAGTAATATTTACAAGCAAATAATTACATGACTCAGCTGTTATAGTTTTATCTCAGGGAGATCATGTGAGATGCTGCTTGAGACATCTGCTTCTGTTAGGGTAGATTTAGCAAAGGCTTGAGCCTACCTCAGATCCCAATTATTGTAACTAATAGGCTGTGTTTTCAATAGATTTTATAGTGTATTTTTATAGTAAGAGTGGGATGAGCTCTGGATATGCATCATTATATAAATAATGGATTATTGTTTTTTTTTTATTATTATTTTTTATTTGCTCAAGGGTCTCTGGGATTTTGAACTTAATGGTCCCTTTTTCTGTTTTAAATGTAAGACTAGCCAACATCCAATGAGATACTTGGATAAGAAATGGTTCTAGTTGGCTTTCATTACAAAGCTTATGTAACATTGATTTTTTTCTTATTTTCCAGCACACATCTCTTGCAGGAAAGGGTTTGTGTCTTAAATGGGATATTAGAATTGTGTCCCATTTGTACATGATATTCATATCCTTTCCCAATGTTTTTAATAATCTCTGTTCTATTGGCAATGTGTGTGAAATGGAAGGAAAGTTCAAAACAAAAACAAGACTTTAAAAAAAAAAAGCCTCAAATTTTTGTCAGCTAAGCCTAGAAAGAATTACATGGGTGAGGGAGGTTAGAAGATGGGAAATTCAGCCAATTGTCCTACACAATTTTCCAAAATTTATCTGAAATGTTTCTTAATTAAAGGAAGTGTCTATGTGATTAACGGGGTGGAGGATAGAGAGGAGAAGCAGACTGTGACAATAGGAAGCCTTATGTTTCCAAATATTGTCTTTAATAAAGAGTATCCAGTCTTCCTGATTACACTGTGTTCTGTACATCTTTTGCTAAAAAGGTGTCAGTGACAAAATGTATTTAAAGAATATTATTTTTTATCTAATTGTATTCAGTTTTGTCCTAATACTGGACAAAGAAATTCCATACTTTGTTATAAAATGGCTCCTGAATCTGCAGGATAAACAAGGGATATCAGTAAACAAAATCATATTATCTTTTTTCTTCTTTGTAGCATCTTCAAGAAATGGATGAACGGAGGACCATCAAGCTTAGTGAATGTTATAAAGGTTTTGCTGATTCTGAGCGCAAAGTTATTCCCATAATCTCTAAATGTTTAGAAGGAATGATTCTTGCAGCAAAATCAGTTGATGAATGCAGAGTAAGTGAATTCAGCTCATTTTCTTTTTTTAATATGCATGAGTAAGTTAACTAATATGGGAGCCATGTGGCATATTATTGAAAGGGGGGAAAATACACTAAATATTTCAGATTTATATTGTCCACTTATCTTTTAATCTAAAAGAGTCAAATCCTGAAGTTAACCTCGTCTTTGAGCGTTTTACCTGAATAAAAAATGAGTTATGACTTCAGGATTTGGTCGAAATGCTAATTTCCTGTTTTGATGTCAGTTGTCTACATCAAAACTTTCTCATGCTTTTTCATCCTTTTGGCTCATCTCTGTTAACGCAACGCCACTGGTACTTAGTACTCAGGTTGGCTTTGCACAAATGATCACTCCATCTTAACAGTTTGTTTTGATAACTATGGTTGGGTAGCCAGGCCTGGATTAAACCAATGTGAGTTTGTGATCGGGATGCTTCTTGACTGGGAACTGGGTTGACATCAATTTATTTTACATGAGCTACTGAAGAGCTGTCTGAAATAGACAGACAGCAGTTTGATCTCGCAAAGAACTAAGTGTAAAGACTGGTATGGTTGTAAAGTCCAATACTCACAAATTAGAAAATTCCAGAATTGTCTGCTTGTGCAACCTTAATTTGACCCCGTGGTGCATAGCCTTATGACACGGTCTTTAAATTATATGATCACACAATATATATGTAAGATACTGTATTATGGGATTGATCCTACTCACTGAAATGGGAGTTTTGTCATTGACTTCAGTGGTAGCCGCACTGGACCTTATGTTAGTAATATATAAAAACAAAACATTTTATAAAAGGAATTATATTGGGAAAGTATTTTTCATGTGTAGTTAAAACAATTTACAGAAAAAGTATATATGAAAGCTCACTAATATGTCTGAAATAGGATGTATAAAAATTAATTATTACTGTGGAATGAAGGCAGATGCAATATTTGGTTTAATCTATAATATTAATATTTAAAACTCCTGTGTGTTACAGTATCTAAGCATTATTTTACAGATGGAAGATTTGAGTCAGAGGGATTTATTGACATACCCAAGGCTATAGAGGGAGTCAGTGTCAGAATTGATCCTATAAACTTTGGATTTCATGCTTCCTGATCCCACGGCTTAGCCACTAGACTACACCTCTGAATAGATTAGATCAGTGATTTTCAACCTTTTTTCATTTCTGGACCCCTAAAAAATTTTGAATGGAGGTGCAGATCCCTTTGGAAATCTTTGACATAGTCTGTGCACTCCCAGGGGGTCTGCGAACCACAGGTTGGAAACCTCTGGTTTACATGATAGTACAAGTGCTAACAGGAAAACTGTATCTGTAAATGCAATTATTCATTTAGAAAGAATATTCATGTCTGGAATTATCTTTTATGCAGTCCATATTGCTTCTGTTGTCTTGGCTGAGTATGTTTATAGCATAGCCAGTGCAGTAAGATTCATACGTGCAGATTTTTTTTAAAGCTCACTAATGTTGCTTATATACAGGATTCTCAAATAGTGATAGACTCCTTCAAGTCTGGGTTTGAACCTCCTGGAGACTTCCCATTTGAAGATTACAGTCAGCATATTTACAGGACTGTCTCTGATGGAACCATCAGTACACCAAAGCAGGAAGGAATGAAGATTGATTCAAAAACCACTGTGGGCAAGGCTAAGGGCAAGCTGTGGCTTTTTGGAAAGAAGCCAAAGGTAAGAATTGTGAAGTTACTATTCCCAAATAAAATTGTGCTTAGGATTTGTAGTTTGTGGTAGAAGGAATTACTTCTTTTAAAGGTGACTCACAAAAGAAAATTAAATTACATGCTTTCCCCTTTACTTTGCAGGTAGAGGTACCAAATGGATTCTACTATTTGTTGCTGGTTTTGAAAGTTTGTGATAATATTTTCATAAAAATGCTTTCTGTTTGAAAACATGAAATATTTGGTCATATAGTAAAACATCTAATTTTTCAGAGTTTCATATGGGCAGGTGCCAAAGGGGAAGCTTAAGACTAAACAAATAAAAGAATTAATAGTTATAAACCTACTTTTGATAAAAATGTTAGAACAGAGATGTTACTCCTCTCTTACTTCTGTGCATGTAGGTTTAATTGACACTTTCTGTGAAAGATGCCTTCATGGACCAACAAAAGGGGCCACTAATACTGGTGTTGGCTATTTAAATAAGTAATTGAACATACAAAGATTAAATTACATATATTTTAGATCTTTTTTACTTGTTCCATATTAGAGCGTATAAACAAATCATTTAATTATTCCCACAAATGTTAATGAGGACTTTCAATGCTGCTAGTCAGTAGCAACTTAGTGAAATAGAAAAGTTTTATTATGATGAAAGAACTACTCTCCAGACTTCTTTCCAGTTGGGATTTATGTTTTTGCAGATAATATTCCAGATACACAAGTCTTCTCTAAGGGGAGAGATAGAATATCTAATTCCTGCATCCTCCTCATAGCACATTTTCTAATTGCTCCTGTATGGTAGCAATGAAAACCTGGGTTATTTACTTTTCATCCACTGTAATTATTAACTGTAATATATCACTTTATCATGCTAACATATTTTACTAGTATTTGTCTAGAGGGCTACACAAGAGATTAGGACTGAATTTAAATTAAAAGACACCATCAATTTGAAAATCATACTTCTGCCTGAAAATTTTAGCCAGGGCCTCATCTGGTGTAAATTGGCTAGTTCCATTGAAGTAATGAAGCTGTGCTGATTTACACCTGCGGAGGACCTGTCCTTCTGTTCTTACTTTAGTTACAGTTAACACCTAAGATGACTGTAGTTGAAAGAAGGTATCAGGAAAAAAAATTCTCTCTCTTCCCCAGTTTTACTTTGTACATTTGATAGCACTTTGTATATTGTCATTGTTTCCTTTGTAGAGTCATGCTACAATTCTGCAAATACTTACACATTGAGTAGTGCTGCTGAACAGAGTGGACCAAATCATGGGTAAAGTTAGTCATATGTAATGGTTACGTGCATTGCAGAATGGAAGCTTATGTCAGTGTTTCTCACTTTCTGGGGGGGGGGAAAAACAGTAACAAAGGAGCATACCTTTTTTAAGAAGTATTTTAAAAAAAATCAGAGCATTATTTAAACAATTTATAACAGAAACTGGATTTTTTTAAATTGATTTTAAAAAATTCTGGTTGACAAACTAGCTGGATGTTCAGGGTAGCCTTTGTGACTCGATGTATCTGTGAATCTGGTGGGTCTTAATTTGCATTTCAAGATACTCTACCTCTTTGTAGATGGTAAGTTCAGCTGAGATGGTAGTTTTTTGAAAGGGGAAAGAACTATAGAAGATGGAGGAGAGGTGTATAGCAGGTGAGGGAAAAGCAGATTGGAAAAGGAGTAGGGAGGAGGAGAAAAGGTTAGAGGTGGGTGATTTAAAACAAAAGTGAAGGAAGAATGAGGACATTAAAGAAGCTGTAATGGTAAGGAAAGCCGTACACCTAATGTTAAAGTCCAAAGGTAGTGAATCTATCTTACCTACTTCAGTAGTTCCCCACAGCTGGGATTACAAATTTGTCTTTCTGTGACTGACCTGTTTATGGACATCATAATGGTAATTCTGGATTTAGCCTATCACATATAATGGAAAAAACCTTACAGAGAAGGAGGAGCAGTGCAGGGTGAGGAAGAGCAGGAGTCCAGAAGGATAGTAACAAGGGTTAGGGAATACTGAAGATGCTATTGGGAAGTATAAAGGAAGGAGACTATCTCAGGTACTTGGGTATTGCTAGTATCTCGGAAATTGGGTGGAAAGTATTCTTAAACTTGTATCCTTTATCTGCACCAACTTTAACTCAAAAGACTAATTCTGAATAAAACCATTTAGAAAAATGACTATCTTTGCTCTGCAAACTATTTTAAAGTTGATACAGTTATGGTGGTAAATCTTCTAGTAAAACATGCTATGAACCGTTTTTGTGTTGGATGGAAATTTTGTTACTGAAAGACAGAATTTTCATTTTAAAATTACTTTGAACATTTGGCTTATTTATTCCTTTCTTTATTTCCATATTAGCCACAGTCCCCACCCCTTACCCCTACTAGTTTATACACATCCACTACTCCTAATGGGTCCCAGTATCCCATATTCTCCATTGAACCAGTGCATTATTGCATGAGTGACATAAAAACAGGGAAGCCCAGAATTCCTTCTTTCAGAAGCCTCAAAAGAGGGGTAAGTTTGATAAGCAGTTGAAAATGCATGATGGGCTATGAAGTGTGTTTGTGGTGTGGCTTTTCTGATACCCTCCACCCTCATTATAAGGCTCACTCTGGTATAACACTCTGATAAAAGGTCACTTTTAGGGTACTTTGCTCTCTATTACATAATAGTTACCTTCATTTTAAAAACTTTTTATTACATTAAAAATGTTTGACTCCAAAAGGAAAGTATTATAAAGAGGGTGCTGAGTATGTGTTTGAAATCTTTTTTTGTTGTTGTGCACATTCACAAATGTCTTACCTCCATCATGTAATGCATTTTTGCAGTAATTTATCATTGGGTGTATAGTTATCACTAAAGAAATTGACATGTCTTATTTGCTGATGTCTTGCTAAAATAGTAGAAGTTGATTTCTGAGAAACTGAATTAAAAGGGGAAAACCCATCTCTCGTTGTAGTTTAAATGCGATAGTGTGCAGTTTTTAACACGTTAAACCATCATTCGTTTCTTATAATGGATTATAATTTTTTTTAATGTAATGTACATTGATAGTTAAATTGCTTTTGCTTCCTAAAGGATTTTTTTTTGTAAAATACCTTCCATCAATTATAAATTACTACTAAATGTCACTTTCTGAGATTTATTAGGGGAATGCATTTACTAATTTATAATAGCATATTCAGCAAATGGAATTTGTTCCGTTGACAATAAAATTGAAAAGTTGAAATGGTTTCCTAGAAACATATATTGTACTAGTGAAAAATGAACTGGCATTATCCCATTATGTCAGTGAAACATAGTCTGCCTTGTTTATGTAAAATTTATAGCATTTGTTGATCCCCATAATCAGAAATTTAGGTATATTTGGTTAGATTTATATCATTATTTTTCTGATATTGAAAATGAAATAAACCCTCTGTTTCATACTGTATACAACCATGGCGGATTCTGTTGCTCTAGAGTGGAGATCAAAGTCCAACGTCATATGACATTCCAGTTAATGATTAGAGGAGCCCTGGCTGTCAGTTGATTACATTTCAGATTATTTTAAATTTACATTCTTTAATTTACCTTATCTAGTGCCTGGTTACTCCAAGCCCTCAAGTTACTCTGTATACCACCCCTTATATACAGGAGCCTAGGTTGCAGAAGACTCTTGTGGACATCTAAGATCTTTATGAAGGACAGATTTCCCCTTTCTCTCCTTCTGTGTCAATTGATCAAAACTTGCTTTGGTCAGGAGAGTATAAGGAAACTCCTTCAATGCTGTTCATTAATGAGGTATGGGAGGTTGTTGAAATAACACTAATCTTTTCCGCTTTCTCCTGATTACTGAACATGCCTGCTACTGACTCAGGAAGCAAGGCCTGATAGGAGTTTTAACCAAGTAGGCCATTTTATTACATGTAAAAATCATCTAGTGGCAGTTTTACTGTATGAACAGAAAATGAAGTGCATCTTAAAAGAAGTTTTTTATTTTAAAACGCACTGATCACAATGCAAAATAGAAAGGTTAGCGAATGTGATCAAATATGGCATTAATTAAAATTTACAAGGATCATTCAAGCTTCTACAGATCTGAGCTCAGCTCAGTGGAAGTCCCACAATACCAAACATTATTCTGTCTTGTAAACCTTCAGGGCAGCAAATATAATTGTTTGTTTCATTTAAAAAATTTTTGCAATATCATGCAAGCACTTTAAAATACTACTTTAACAAATGTCAAGGGAACTGATACATCCTTTTGCAAGCTGAACAATTTACCATAGTTGTAAAAAATTTCCTGTCATATGGCAATTTAATATTGTATATGTTTTCCATCAAAATATATAAAAATATTTCAGATATTGTACATTGACACTATTTAACACACACAACTGTGATTTCCACTCTTTTATTGCTGTAAAACATTTTCTCAATGGTATTGACATTCTCTGCTATCAAATGGCATTTTAATTTGCTTTGTTTTTTAATTTAAATTCACCAGTAAATTGGCAAATAATATGCACAGAAGCTGAGTATGTTGGATATTTTGTTTACCTGCCCTGTCCAGGATTTCACTCAAGGAATATTTGAACAAGGCCATAAACAGGAAACTGCTCTCATTACTCTGTGCTTCATGCATCATCAAAACTCCCCATCAGCAACTGTGTGTAACAGAAAACAAATTCAAACTGTAGGGGTTTTCTTTGTTCACTGTTATCATTGCCCATCTGAAATGAGCAGAAATGCAGCTATGTTGTTTATTTAATGTGAAGGAGAAACCCAAATGTCATTCCATGCTATAAATCAAGGGAAAGTGATTCTGCAAACCAGACACATCAGATAATGGGTAGTTTTTGTCACTTATTTGTTAAAATGCATTATTATTTATTCTACTTCCAATTTGTAATTGTCAAAGAGTTTAATGCTGTGAAAGGTGCCGGCTTGATAGCAGTTTGAACGGAAATCCCAGCCTTAAAACAGGCCTATCATAAGCAATGGAAGTGCAAGCCTCACCCATGCTTCTCTGCCAGTTCTCCTCAGTGCATGTCTGGGGAGATTACCTCTAGAAAGCAGAGTCGTTCAGTCTATGTCCCCGTTACATTATTAGAATTTACTGAGCTTGCTAGCCAGGGTGTTATTAATAGAGGTGGATTTTTAGGTGGAAAAGGTAGAAACTTGGATTTTTAGGTAGCAACTTGTTAGAAAGTTGCTTAAATGAGACCTCTAACCTTTCATGTATGCCACTCGTTAGCAGTCAGACAGTAATACCATTTGGTCACAACTGATGTGGTGAATATGAATCATTGATACATTGATGAAAGGCTTCAGAGTAGCAGCCGTGTTAGTCTGAATCCGCAAAAAGAACAGGAGTACTTGTGGCACCTTAGAGACTAACAAATTTATTTGAGCATAAGCTTTCGTGGGCTAAAACCCACTTGTATTTTCCACTGCATGCATCCGATGAAGTGGGTTTTAGCCCACGAAAGCTTATGCTCAAATAAATGTGTTAGTCTCTAAGGTGCCACAACTACTCCTGTTCTTTTTATTGATGAAAGGGTCCTTTCTAACCCCTTCATGGTGCTCTACTTGAGAAGCTTAACAAGTTTGGTAGGATCACTCTGAGTGTATGGCACGCCCCTGGGATATGGCACCTTGTTGGAGCTGTACCAGTCTTGTCTGTCATAAGATATTGCTTTGTCTCAGAAGAAAGTCCTGTTTATTCTCACCAGTTTGTCTGTAGATTTTAATATTTTTGAGTATAGTGCAATGATCAATTGAACAGTTTAAAATGTAAAATTAAACTTTTAAGCTTGAAATGGCAGAGAAGGGATTTTGCACCTTCCATGGGAAACCTCTTTATTTTTGTTCTGTTGGGATATTAACAGTTTTGAAGTGATGCAGTGTATTCCTAGTCATGATTTACCAAATTTTTGTATATGATAGACCGGCCCATCATCGTCATCATCATCAAAAATTCTTCTGCTTTGTGCAGTGTTCGCTTTATATTTTGTTTTTCTCTAAATATATATTATTATAAATACTAAAATAAATAAGTCGTTAAATGAAGCCATGCATTGTAATTCCACAAGGTAAACTACCCATTATCATTCAATGTAAGCTTTAATTGCCAATAATTCTCTCAGCATAAGTGCACTTCAAACTTGTATTTTGCTGTTTTTGTGCTGATAGTGAAGTGCATCATTTAATTTTGAGTTTGTAAAATTTTACTTTAAATATTTTAAAGATATATTTTTAGGAATAAACCTTCACTTCCTAAATGATGATTGCATGTGAATAATTTCCCGTTTCTTTCTGTTTTCAAATGAACTGTTCAGTGGTCGGTGAAGATGGTAAGCCTGTGTGCTGATCTGTCTGCTGTACTTCTGATAAAATAGCATGAAAGTAATCTTTTGAAATTGTTTCCATATCATAATTGCTTTGAATCAGGTGCTGAAATACATTTTCAGATTTTTCACCTTGTATACATGGTCTTTCTTTTTAATCATCCATGTTCAGTGTGAGCTAATTGGACCTGTGATCTGGATGCAACTTATCTATGACTTAGAGTGAAGGTGGACAGATTTCATGTGTTGGTCATAATGAAAATATATTTCATGATTTATCAGGGATTGATAGAAAAGCTGTTAAAACTCTGCAGAATAGTTATATGAAAAGATTGTGGAAGTTGTATAAAGAAGGAAACATGAATAAGAATAATAAAGGGTCTTTTGAACTTAATTTTTAGTGGTTGAAGGAAAAATACACCTCTTTCCACTTGTACTGCCAAGCTCTCAATTTGGATGAAAAATTCCAACACACACCTATCGGCATTTAGTTTCCTGGAGTGAATCAATGATATTCACAATAAGAGTCCTGTTCTTCTAATTTTACTATAAGGTACCACTGATGTAAAAAGGCGGCCGGGGGTGGGTGAGAGAGGCAGGAGGAAAGTTTGTCCTTTCTTGTTTCTTTATGATGCGTAAAGAAAGCAATATGGTGGTGGCTGTGTTTTTTACATTAGAAATATCAGATCGTGATTTTCCTGGTTGTACTGAATGACTGAAGTAGTAGTGGAATGATGATATCACAAGTGACAAGGGACTGAAAACCATGCAGTTGAGAAGGGAAGAAATTTTTAGACACATTGTTTAAAACTTGGTGTGGGCTGGTGTTGGGTCAATGAATGCCCATTTAACTCAAAATCCTGACAGTTGGGAGAAACGCACTGCTTGTTAAATTCTCCCCTTTTCAGATTGCCTTTAATGCCAGATTCTTTTTCAGCGTTTAAAACAAACAACCTTCTAAATAACTAGCACATGAAGAAGGCAGCATTTTTATCAGTTGGTATTATTAACCCTAAGGCTTGAACTTTTTTTTCTCCTCTCCCCAAACGCATTTTCTTTCTTTCTTTCTTTCTCTCTCTCTCTCTCTCTCTCTGACATGCATATCTGTTGCTGAGGTGTGGGCTTTTGGCAACAACCTCTTAAAATTCATATGTATAAATACCCCCACACACTTAATTGAGAGGACATATAGGGGCTTATACCTGCAATATACTGAGGCGAGGGAACTCATAGTGTCCATAATCCATATTTTCTGTAATTTATTTGGTAAAAGGATTTGAGCATTTGAAGTTAGTTTTTATGCAAAATTTCAAGAACCATCAGTGTTTGAGCAACAAGCTGTCCCCCCCCCCCCCAAACATACTATTTTTGGGAATAGAATGAAAAAGTTGACAATGCTTCTGTAGCTTTGATTCAGGGTAGTTTCTGTAATCCACAGTTTTGATGTTGTATAAACTCCATTTCACTCTCACTTAGCTCATGTTGATAGTAAATAAAGCAGGACATAGAAGAGGACTTAGAGATTTCATAATTTTATGTAAAAATTCATGATTGAGAAACGATTTACTAACTAGTTAATATTTCTTCTCAAGTATGCTTTCAGGCATTATTGACCAAATTCTTAAAGGGAAATATATCAGTAAGGGATTTGGGATGAATACCACGATTGTATTCTTTTCTTTTGGCAGTATCCAAGTAAGGTGGAAAACAGACACTCTAGGCAGATTGCAAACCATATACACCTATTGCTTTCTGGATTTCAGTTGTAATTACTATTTGGTACAGTATTTCATGCTGTCTGTTAACTTACTAAATTGGCTTTGATTGCAAGGGCTGGACTAGGAGGACCTATGGTTCAGCTTTTCTGTGCAATCGTTTATAGATCCATAAATTATTTATTATGGACCTAACCCAGCTATTGAAGAAACTATTAGCATTTCTGTTGACTTCAATGGGACCAGTATTAGGCTGTAGGCATGGTTGTATCTGCAAAGCAACTTACAGCAACTAAACGTTATTTTACAGAAGTATATATTAAGATAATTGTGGAAATACTGATGATGGGGTGTAGTTCACCAAAGTTGATAGAATTTAGACAGTATGAAAAAATGTTTTTTGGTTTGATTCTAATATTGCTCCTGTTCATTAAGTGATTGTTGTAATATTATGAAGAATACTTTGAACTGGCATTACTGTACATTAAAAGTACTTAGGGTTGCAAATTTTGCTGACTTGCACATTTACCAGATCTGCGATTGGCAAATTAATTTGCATGGTCTATACCAGGGATCGGCAACCTTTGGCACACGGCCCGTCAGTGAAATCCACTGGCGGGCTGGGACGGTTTGTTTACTTGCAGAGTTCGCAGGTTTGGTCGATCGCAGCTCCCACTGGCTGCGGTTCGCCGTTCCAGGCCAATGGGGGCTGCAGGAAGCAGCGGCCAGCACATCTCTTGGCCCACACTGCTTCCTGTAGCCCCCATTGTCCTGGAACGGCGAACCGCGGCCAGTGGGAGCTGCAATCGGCCGAACCTGCGGATGCTGCAGGTAAACAAACCATCCCAGCCCACCAGCGGATTTCCCTGATGGGCCGCGTGCCAAAGGTTGCCGATCCCTGGTCTATACTATGAAACAAAGAAACTAAGTCTAAATTTCCTCACAGCTTAGCTGAGATGGTTATTAATTTTGATTTATTTTCTGCTAGTGTGTATTCTAAGTCAGTTTATTCCCCATTCATGTATCACTCTTGTGATATGTATCCAATAACGATTTTATTAAGACTTCTTGTTTGATTATTTTTTTTGACCGTGCCCAAAAGTGTGCTAGGCACTTCAGGGTATACGTTGAGAGAGAGATCATGTCTTTCTAAATGCCTATAATCAAACTTGTCACATGATGTGACAGAACAAAACAGTAGGGAGGGGACAGAGTGAAGAACAAGGGCTATGACACTAAGATCATACGTACTCGGTTTAGGTGTATGCTTGATATAGCTGTGTGTATAGCATAGTTGCTAAGAAGGTTCATCCTGCTACCTCATGTCAGAGAAAACTGTTTGTGTGTGGATTGTCAGTAGAAATAACTATAGACAGAATTTTCCAGTGTTTAATAGTATTTATCTTTGTTGCAGGGTCCCGCACTAGAAGATTTCAGTCATCTGCCGCCAGAACAAAGACGTAAGAAACTGCAGCAGAGAATCGATGAACTCAACAGAGAACTACAGAAAGAAACAGACCAGAAGTAAGTGTGTCCTTCACAGCTTAGTCCATTTTTTGGTCACCCTTATCTTTGACCATTTCTTTCTAGGTTTCTTTTTATAAGCCAGAGTTTTCAAAAGTTAAACTGTTCTAAGTAGTATGTCAATTGTTGGTCTGTCCACCTTTATAGTATATGTGCTCCATCGTTATCAACTTTGTTGTTTTAGCAATTGATTATCCGTTTTTATATTATACATTACAAATACTGTATCTAGAGTTGTGAATGTTCAACAACTCTAAAAATCAGACCTTAGGTCTGCCAAACTGGGCATCTAAAACTAGTGGATACATTAGAAAACTTGGGCATTAATCGTTAAGAAATGACCATATGCCAGGAACCAGGTAGCAGAGGGTGAATTATAATGAGATTGAAGATGGGTGGAAAGACCCAGTATTTGAACTGTGTATGTCTTTGCAGAGAGAGGGTGGGGGGAGGGAGGGGCATAAGCACAGTGGGAGGGAAGACAGGATACTGGGCTTTGCCCTTGGGGAGAGGCTAAGGAAATGAGGGCCTTATTTTATTGAGAGAGTGGAGGGGACAGGACTGGGGAGGGAGACAGTAGCTTCTCTTGGGTCAGGAAAGAGAGAGTTTTTATATTCATCCTCTTTGTGTCTATGGTGGTTGTTATTATTTGTATTACTGTAGAACCTAGAAGCCCTAATGATGGACCAGGAACCCATTGTGCTAGGTGCTGTACAAACATTGTTTTAGTATTTATTGGACTGTTAAAGACAAAACATCTTGTAATGTAATTGCCACTTGTAATAATTCCTGGGCATTCATATACCTCACTACAGGGATGCACTCATCAAAATGAAAGATGTTTATGAGAAGAATCCACAGATGGGGGATCCAGGCAGTTTGCAGCCAAAATTAGCTGAAACTATGAGCAACATGGATCGTCTTCGAATGGAAATACACAAGAATGAGGTTAAAAACTATTAAATTATTCCTTGGCAAGTGTATTGAAATAGGAATATGCTGATGTTCCCTGTAAGTCACAAACATAGGAACTAGAAAATTTCTCTGTTTGAAGAAGTTAGTCTGATTCAGTTTTCCATGGAGCATCCTTCCCCCTAGTATGTTGACGTAGGTAGACTGAGATGATATGCACTGAGTAATTTAATGTAAATTATTTTCTACAAATTTATTTTTAAGTGATTCATGTTAAATGGTTCAAGATGTCAGTTTTTACCATTTTCTCAACACCACTACTGAGTATTAAACTGAGATGATAGCTTTGTGCATCAAGCCAAGTAAAGAGAAAACTTTCATGATGATTTGGTATTTAGCAGATATCTGGATGTATATTGGCACTTAAATTCTACACTGTTAAGTGTATTTGAAATAGTACATTTGGTGATATATAACATTTGCTGGTTGAGACTTCTCTGGTAATATTGACCCCAGATGTTTTCTGACTTTTTTCCCCATAAGGCCTGGCTCTCTGAAGTTGAAGGTAAAGTAGCAGCAAGAGGAGACAGAAGGCACAGCAGTGACATCAACCATCTTGTAACACAGGGAAGAGAGAGGTCACTATTTTAACAATATCTGCGTTGAAGCTTTACTGGAATTCTCAGTAGATTTTTTTATTTTTCACAGCTACTCCCACCATGTCCATCTGGCATCTAAGGGTGGGTGATACCCACCTCTCCTTCTCCCACATTCCCAGATGCACTATGTATGTCCTTCAAATGGCATCTTTTGGCCATAAGGTTCTAGGTTTTACTTCTTTTCATTCTTGCCACTTCAGTAAAATAATTTTCCATTAAAATACATGCATACACAGACTAGTCAGGTTGTAGGTAATTCAAGGTGAAAACGGTATATGACATCACCGAAGGGTCACTCTTTCAATTAATGTCCCCTGTTGACTTCTATAACTTCCCAAACATCTCAGGTAGATTTTTTTTTCCCCATTTCGCACCTCTGTCAGATCATCCCCATTGCTGTATCTTCCTTGTTAAATGTTAAATTTGGGCTGTTCTAGTAGCAGAGTTCAGTGCAAGTCTTTAAAAAACAGCTCTGCTCCTTCAGAAAACAATATGCATTAATACTTAATCCATAATTAAATATTCCCAACCTGTTTTCCTCATGTGTTCACACTGATAGCCTAGAACAACTTTGAACAGCCTTTTCTGAGTTGCACTAGGGTTCAGGTTTTTTTTTAGATATGGAAATGTAACTTCTAAAGTTGTGTGGGTGGTTTTTGAGAAATATACAGAGTCCTTACTCTACTCATTGCATTATAGCCCTGAGGGGAGCTACACGGATGAAGCAAACCAGGAAATTCGAGGCCCACCACAACAGCATGCCCACCATAATGAATTTGATGATGAATTTGAAGACGATGATCCCTTACCAGCTATAGGACACTGCAAAGCAATTTATCCTTTTGATGGTAGGGTTAACTCTGTATATTGTGCTTATTTGATTTTAAAAAACAGAACAAAAAACTGATGGATTATTTTGTTTTAAAAAAATATTAGCAGCTGCGTTTAAGGTCATGAGAAGTATTCCATAGATCAATTTAATTCATTGGCAGAGTAGTACTTTTATATTGTTGTAACACAAATATTAGAAGAACAGCTTCTGGCATATATTCAGCTTTACAACATGAGACCAGATTTTTGTCTGCAAGCCTATGTTTGTCCATATGTTCCCTTCCATAGATTATCAGTACTTCCTGTTTATATAAAGCTTACTTTTAAATTGTGTCTGAGCTGTGAGACTTTTTTTGTCTGTTTTCCCAGGTCACAATGAAGGCACTCTGGCAATGAAAGAAGGGGAGGTTTTGTACGTTATCGAGGAAGACAAAGGAGATGGATGGACAAGAGCTCGAAGACAGAATGGAGAGGAAGGCTATGTGCCAACATCATATATAGATGTAACTCTAGAGAAAAACAGTAAAGGTGCAGTAACCTATATATAACAACTAAGCTGGCAGCTTACTACTCTACATTCCATAGGGAAAATACTGAATCACACAATTTCATAGAAAGTGTTAGGATATCTGAAGGCATTTGTGTGGTCTGTTGTTCACCATGTGAGCTTGGCTAGAGACTTTTTTTTTCCAGAGATGTTAGTACTAAAAGTAAGAAAATGTCTTAATTTAATTCAATTGCTCTGCAACATTTACCTTATTTCTGCATTTATCTCTCTGAGGTCCTTTAGTGTTTTCATTTTATAAATCATTGGATCTGCTCCACTGATCAGGTCATCTTGTTTTTATACTACTATTTTAAAATCCATTTTTAATATTCACTTGCTTCAGAAAGTAATTTTTAAAATTTTCTGTCTGTACAACAATGTACTTGAAAATAACCTCTGTTCCAAATGGCAATTTCTGAAAACCTCTTTAGGCTCTATTGTTCCCGCATCAGCAACTTTAACTACCATATACTTAAAACTCTAAAACAAAAAATAAATAAACCACTCTACAACTGACTGAGCTCAGTTACTGAAAGTGTTCATAATTGTCCTTTCTTTGTAAATATATTAGCAGCTTTCACGCCATAAAAAGGAAAACATTTTCCTATTCTCAAAGGTAAAAAAGCACAATCCACTCAGGATGGTCCATTAAAGATAGAGAAAGTACCGTATGATGGACCTACCCTTTTATTCTCCTGCCAGCGGCTATGAACCTAGAATGTTGTCTATTTGATACTGCTTTGGCTTGGAAATGTTTTTGATGGTTACTATATGGTTAAAACATAAAATGTGTCTTTCTGAATTCTCATGTTCCTTTCCATTCTTGAAAAGCTCTTAATCTCTTTTTCTGAGTTCTAGTAAATGTTTTACGTTCCCAGTGAAAGGATCTTGTACCTTAGCTAGAGGCTTTACATTTCATCACTTGTAGGTTAAAATTCAAACATTAGATCTACAACCATTTTCCTCACCTAATTTTAAATAATAAAGGATAGGAAGGTACATTGCACTACTTGATTACTGGACAAATAGCTGTTCTTACTGGAATGTATGTTGCGAATAAGCTTGAAAGGGCTTTTGCTTGCCATCAGATATGGTTAATTGTTCAGGGATTAAATAGAACGGCTATTCTATAGCCATTTAAGGTGGCTGATTAGAATTGAGAAGGCTTCTCTGTTTTCCAGAGGCTTTCAGTAACTCTGTTCTTTTCTTTTTCCTCTTGGACTGCAGGTTCCTGAAGCGGGTTTCTGAGAAAATGGGCGAGATGTTGAAGGAGGTTACATGCAGCTGCTTTTGGGGGAGGGCATTAGGCTGGGAGGCCCAGCAAAAAGAGGGAAAAGCAAGTTGCATGAATGCATGCAGACATACATTTATTCACTAACATTCTTGGCATTTCCATACATAATATGTTACAAATTCTTAAATTTCTGAAGCAAAAGAGAACTCCATTATGGCAGAATAGAAAGGCAACCAGATTTTAAATACTTCAGTCTCATTGTCCTAAAAGACGTACAAACTATTCATCAGTTTGCATTACATTTTGGCTGTCTCAGCTGTCTTCTTTTCCTACCCCATTTTAATTGGCAATCAGAACCATGTCATTTGTCCACATCTGCCAGTGCCACCTCCATGCTCGCCCTAACCTCCTCCTGCATGTCTAGAATTGTCAGGCACCGCTGCATAACACTTTATTATCTCCATTGCTTCTTATTTTATTTTGCATTTGTAGCAAAACCACTTTGTTTAAATATTTCCAGCACTAAAGTTTTCATCCCAGTGTCCATGTATGCTGCTATAACTATTCCAATGCAACCATCATTACATTCCAGTTTTCTTGGCATTATAACTGATGTAAACCTTTATGTATTTATGTTGATTTGGGGAAAAGACTATATCTCAGCTCTAGCCCCAATGCAGTCACAGGATCTCCAAGAACTGTGGTTCATCTTCAGCACTTCAGTAACCTATTGTGAGCACTGAAAACCTGGCATAACAACAAAGAGATTCACCACAACAAGACAAATGACTGTTTTCAGAAGTCAACTGCTTGCCATTCAAATGCTGCCTTAAAACTAGAGAGTGCCTAAATCTGTTGATTGCCAATCCTACCACTACAGTATCCCACAAAGGGCTTTGTGTCTCAGCTCAGTATGATCGCCTGTAACTCTTTCCAAAGTGCAGCAGCTGCTGAGGTAGCCAGGGTAGGTGTTTGTTTTCTAGAGCTTTACCTTAACATAATACATGGTGCATCATAAATTTTATGCATTGAAACTAAAGACATCTAAAAAAATTTATGGAAACTCTTTTATTGTTTTTTAATTTTGGGTTCTGAGGCTCCAGTGGTTGTCCGTTTTTAGGTGATGCTTCATTGTATGGACCAGTTGAAATTTGAGTGATACTTTGTAATGATCTATGTGCACTTTTACTTGTAAACAATTGACATTTGGATATGTTTATACGTGTAAATATAGCTGTCTGCAGTGCCCCTATTGCTTATGGTGTCTCTTCTCCCATTTGTGATTCTATTAATAAAATAAATCTTATCTGATTCAGTGGTGAACGCTAGAATAGGGGAGGTAGAGGGAGGGAGATTTGTATCATTTAAAGCTTCATAAGCCCAGCCACTTGCTGTTTGGGGAATGAGATATTGTCTCTTTCACAGGGTTTGAAGCAATACTTGGACACAGCAGTGCTGGATTCCTTCTTTTTTTTTTAAATGAAAATTCAGTGTTGTTAGAAATTGTACTACCAGTAATACTAAATCTGAGTGATTTCTTGTGTGGAAGTGTATTCCTTTATGTATACCACTATTACACAGCTGACCTAGTGTATTGCATTTGGGGGCTATTAAACTCGTTTAGATTTTTGGATATTGTATACAGGGTTATTTATATAAGGTGACATTACTCAATACTGACAAACTACATAATGTAGTTTTTTTTTAAAAAAAAAACAGTGCTTTTTTATTTTAAAGTTAGAGAAGAGGTGGAAATGTGAGCTGATTTTTTGGCTAAGAAGCCTTTGGTTTCCTTGGCTAGAAGCCTCACAGGTCACTGGTAACACTTCCTGGTAAAGAACTAACTGTTCTTTTCATGCTACTGTTTGTTTTTCTAAAAGCAGAATTTGCTTCCTTTGGAGGCAAACTGCTTTCACGAGGGATAGTGCAACCTGTATGAGGGTTATTAAATATAGGGGGGAAATTTGTACTTGCACAGTTAGTTCTAACTCATTCTGAAATTTTGAACATGAATTGTCTTAATCTTACATTTTCCAGTAATTTTTAATCTTTTTGTGCACATGTTGATTTCTTAAATGTTAAATGCTTTGTTTAAAAATAGTGTTCTCTGTTGAGAATATTTTAATGGAATAAAAACTTTTCATGGTCAAGATAGCTTCCTTTTTGTCTTCAGTTACAAACCCATCCCTGTACATCTATCACATTTTTTTATAATGATATGTTACTAGAGGGTTGGGTGACCAGATCACACAGGTGAAATATCGGGACATGGGGCCAAAAAAAAAAGCTGCCGGAGGTCCCCGCCCCGCCCCGCCCCACCCCTCCGTGATACATCTGGGTCTAATTCCGGGGTTAGGAAGATTTCAGAAAAGAGGAACGACCCAGCACACGCGTTACTGTGGTGAGGAGGGCACACAAAGTGCCATCGCACCTCCTTTTGTACCAATTCTTCAGACACACCCAGACTTCCACGTAACGCACAGCGCTACGGAAACGTGCTGTGACTGGATGGAAGTTTGCAGCCGCACTGGGGAGCGCGGTGGCGACTCCCAGCGCTGTGCCGGTGGAGAGCCCCACCGTGCCCCCCCACCCACACAGGGAGCTCTCCGCTGGGCCGCACCGACAACACAGCCTGGGCCAGAGAGCCGTGGCCCAACAGGAGGCACGCCGCGCCGTGACAGCCCGGCGGCTCCCTCCCGCCGCGGGCATCGGAGCCCTATTGATGTGGGGAGCTCGGCGGCAACATCAGGCCCCGGGGCCGGGCGGAGAGAGCTCCCTAGTGGCGGGGGAGGTGATCGGCTCCTGCTCACCCCAGCAGGGATGCGCCCTGGCCCCCTGTGCAGGAAGAGACGGGCACTGTCCCCGCAGCCGCCCAACCCGAGCTGGGCGGGGGGTTAGTATCTACAGTCCCTGCCCGGCCAGGCTCTTACCACGAACATGGAGCCCCGCACTGCCTCAGAGATGCTCGGCTGCTGTGCCCGGCTTGCTGAGCACCCAGGTGAACTTCTGAGTCTCCAGGGGAACTAGCGCCTGCTGTCCCCGCGCCCACTCTGCCTTGTGTCATGGGCCCTCACCTAGGCACACAGCAGCTTTGACCTCCCAATTTCCCTGTCCTCACCACCTCCAGCGCTTGCGCCGCCATATAGCTGATCAGCACAAGCCTGGGAGGGAGGGGGGAGGAGGAGGAATGCAGCGTGCTCGGGGAAGAGACGGGGCAGGGTGGGGATTTGGGGAGGGATCCAATGGGGGCACGAGCTCCCTCCGGGCTCCGCCTGTGCACCGGAGCAGAGGCAAAATATCGGGACAATTCGCGTTCCGACCGAAGGTAGGGCGGGACACGGGACAAACAAGCAAATACCAGGATGTCTGGTCACCCTACTAGAGGGCCACATTCTGTCACTCTTACGTACTTGGAGTGGTCTATGTTGCAAGTAGTTGCAGTGACTTCATTAGGCCTACTTGTGGCATGAGGAACAAAAGTGGCAGACTTTGGCTCTGAGTTGCTGAAATATATATATATATATATAGCCTCTGAACATGTTTATTGTGGTTATAGTTATATAAATAAAACAATTTGTATTTGAAAGTTACATATCACAAGAAACACTGTGTATATAATGAGGTTATGGTGCCAATATCAAACCTGTCTTGACCATAAGCTTGTTCCACCTTTTTTTAAATGTGGCCATATCAGGCCCTCCCAACTGATTAAAATATGTGTGCCATTTGATGGTCCAGATTAAAATCTGTGCGGGTGAGCAGTTTTTCTTCTCCCCATCTCCAGGAGGGATTTTCAAGTTTTTACACTCATTGAGACATTGATGCACTTCTTCTAGCTAGCCATCCACAATTAAACAATCTACCATAATCATATTAATGCCTCCCTCACACTACAGTAATTCATTATCACATTGTTTCCTTAAATGATAGGACCAAAAGCCAGACTTCTAAAATGCCAAAAAGGTCATTAACTGTCTCCACTTGCTTCAGAAAGCAAGTTAGTGTGCCAGGTAGTGGTCTCTAGGAGTCACAAACAGGCCCTCTCCACAGAGTGTGAGGTCCAAAACTACATTAAGTGTGGCTCTGGAGCAGCACAGGGGTGACTACTGACTAATTAATACATGGAAGTTTAGTCCCCATGTGGACTCCTTTCCCCTCCCCCCCCCCAATTATTTGGGGATTTGCATACTTAACTACAGGCAACAGTAATAAGATCTCCTAGCTAACTTGAGAGGAGGGATTTGTGTCACTGAGAAATAACCAAACAGCAACTCCACACTTCAATGGGCAGAGACATTTCTAGTTCAGTGTAAGAGATTTTAATCAGCATCATGACTTTGTCACTGAGACTGTGATTATTTATTTTTCTTAATCTCTTACAGGGATCCTTATGAAAAGCCAAGTAAATTAAATTAGACTGACTGTCACTTTTATCTACTATTTGAACTTCCTGAAATAATCCTAAAGCACGAGAGATAGTATCTCTTGTAGAAGCTGATTTCATTCGACCATTATAGATATTGCTATAAAATATGGCAGAGGTATATTACTCTTAGAAAGGGCTTACTCAGAAGCCTCATCTAAGATTTTTCTTAACTTTTTTTTCATTGATAAAACTCATTAGCAAATTTTCAACATAGGTGCAGCTGTGGCTGCAATCTCCACTATTTCATAAAATACCATCCACTGTTGATGTCTTATTACAGGTGAGCTTATCCCCATGACTAGTTCCTCAAAGACTTGAACTTCCAACACCACCACACTTAGAGTGCTGTCGGATTATACAGTTCCTCTTAATTCTATACAGCAAAGATTGATACATTAATCTAGCTACTACTTACTACTCTGTTTCCTCCTTTTTGCTAGAGAAGACCTGAGATACGGGTGCAAACCTCTAGCTGATGGTGAAGTTGAAGACATCTTGATTGCTTAGCTATTTGTTCTTCTCATCCCCTTGTTTGGGGTCCCCCCCCCATTTCCAACGCACATGGCATAGTTTGTATTGGAGCCTGAACAACAGACCAGAACACTCTTGAATAGTAACTTGTGCATTACAAAGTCCAGAGTAACTTCTAAATACTAATTTCCTAGGAGACAAATGGTATCAGCTCATGGGTTTTGTGTACATTGGTGAAAGAATATTTCAAACTGTACCCTAATCAACTAGTTAATTTTCTACCCCACCAGTTCCACTACAGTCTAGCCCCCTCCCCGGGCAGTATAAAATCACCTTATTTCCTGTGATTATAGTGTACAATGATCCACTGTATAATATTTCACATAAAGATATTTTAATTCACAACTATGTACAGGTTCATATTCATGTAAGGAATATCATACAACTGATATTTTCTAAAATACCTAGCATTTTTTATTTACAGTACACTGTTTCATTACTGATAACATTAAGTAAAACACCAATAGTAATGACTAGTAGACATCAATAGACATTTTTGTAAATCACAAGAATACATTATGCAGACTATCTTAAATTTGACTGTTCAAGAAATTATTAAATTGACATGGTTACATATTAATAAATAAATTTATTTAGAAATCAGTAGTTTTTAAACAATTCATAAATGTGCATTGTGCAATTTACAAGTCCTAAAGATCCGGTGAATGCTAAAGGCTTGTACAGTGACAAATTGGCAATTTCTTTTAATTAAATTAAATGGCAAACTTGAAGTAATCATATCTTAAGGGTCCATTTGATATTTCATTGCTCTACCTGTTTCACTGGAGGAGGTTCTAATTTTCGGGAGAGTGCAGTTAAAATCTGGTTGAATTTCTCATATCTCTCTCTCTGATTAACTTGTGCTCCTTTGCTGCCCCATAACAATCTCATTTGAAATTCTGTCTTGAAGATCTCACTCATCTCATCATCTGGCTGAAAACCTGAACGAGGAAAACAGAAAATGCATAACTGTGTATGACCTGACGAACTCAGTGGCTCAAAAGCTTGTCTCTCTTGAAATTGGTCCAATAAAAGATAATACATCACCCACCTTGTCTATCAAATCAGCTTTTACTTGGCGATGGGGGGTGGGTTCTAAGTTTATTGTACTTTTCCAAAAGTACATCTATGCTAAAATGTTGGGTTCTTTTTATAATATTGGCTTTATCTCCCAAATAAATATTTGGAGATATTAAAAAGCTGGGTAAATACTAAAAAACACTTCCATAGGCCATGCTGTAGGGACACGTGGATGACTCTGGTTTAATTAAAGATCATTGGCACAGGATATACTGAGAACCGAGGAAAACTTTGGCTCTTGGTATTGCATAAAAAGGTCAGACTAGGAGATCATAATGGTCCCTTCTGGCCTTAAAAATCGATAAAGACTGTTAGATGAAGATGAGATGGTATAATGGCAACTCCTGAAAAATGTAGAGCTCTCTGAGAGTATATATTTGCCTGCAATAACTTTATAATATCAATATTTTTAATTTCCCTGCACCAGCTGTTTAGTGTGATTAATATTGGTCATCGTTATTGCAAACACACAAGTGGAGGCAGAATTTTTTGCAGGCAAAATGTAATCACTTGAGCTGGAATTTAGTCAGATTGGTGGGGTTAATGGATACTTATTTTGAAAAGTTCTATGGGCTCTTTAATAACAAGGCTTTCAGTTTTATGGTACTTCCAGAAGTACAGAATCCCTGAAAACCATGCTGGGTCTTTGCTTCCTGAGTCAGAAGGTAGAATACCACATACTGAACCACCTGCTTCCCTTGCAGGTCTTCTATCCATGTACTAAGCCACCTTGACTGATCTTAAATTATATGAATGGCTGTAAATGGTCCTCAGCTCCTTATCAACATATGTTGAGAGTCCTCTTAGCTTCTTAGCAGATGAATACGTGCATATTTACTTAAAAGGTCACAATGGCTCTGACTTAAAAGATAAATGTGCTTAGCAAAAAAGCGTATAGTACAATTGTATCACCATGCTGCTAACTGGATAAATACAGCATACAAAATGACTGTTTAACTAGAGCCAGCCTATAGAGTGTATTCTGCTACTGTGGCCTGGAAGAGACTTTGATTTAGGAGAATCTCAGCCTTGTGAGCGAGAGAAGAATGTATTTCTTGCAGCAATTCCTAGTCGACTTAAGTGGAGACCTCAAAGATATTCACAGTTCTGTATAACAAGAGTTCATACAGAAGATGGGTTAGGAGGGTATGAGCTAGTGACAAAACTTCAGCTAAGGGAGAGTCAGACATAAGGAATTTAGAGGATTTTCTTTAGAGAGAATGTAATCGCTAGTAGATAGGCTGATAACTTAACAAAAGGCAATGAGAAGCCATGGAGCCATAGGTTTAACATGGAAATACTCCTTTCCATACAGTATGTTTCCTTCTGTAGGGCATGCTGCTGAGAGTCGCACACACTAGCTGTAGCATCATGCCCTCAGACTAACCAGTTGAGAGGGGGAGATTGACCAGAAATTTGCCTTTGTCCTATTTACATTTTAACTTTTCTCATATTTGCCAATTGCTGTAGAAAAAGCCTGTACCCGATTTTATAAGCTGTTATTTCAGTTACTAATAAGAGCCTGGACTCTTGGGAGAATATGCAGTATCTCTTCATTACTTTAACAACACACCTCACACATTCTGTTCACTCTGAGAAATACTGTATTGGCAAAACGCGCAGCAAGATTTTACTCCTGCCAGTGGCCCTACCTTCCAGTATCCTTTCCGCAGTCATTCTGTACATGTCAGCATTTTGTGCTATAAAACGGGCTGTGGCTAAATGCTTGAGCATTATTTCACAGCTTTGGTCGGTGTTTTCCCACAGGTCCATCCCATCAAAAATGACAACCTGTCGCTCCATCAAGGTAACCGAGGGCATCAGCAGGGGCACAGTTATGTTGTTTTGTGGAGCACAGATGGTCTCTGGAAGAGATGCAACACAGCCACTCAACAATCTTAAATCCTGCTCATTTACAAGCGAATTATAGTACAACATTCTTCCCTAAACCAGTTACAAGTAGGATTTGTTTTGAGTATTTTTCCCTTCCATAATATGCTTTAGTAATCCTTCAAATTAGCATCCTCACTTTTCATCCCTGCCCCCCAGCTTCCATTTAATATCCTGATAAATCTAGACTCTACTGTAATGCTGCAAAACTGCATCTGGTGCAAGGCAATAGCTTGCATCCATCTATGTTCTCTGCTGAAGTATTAGGGATCGAAGGTTAGATCCACAGAGGAGTTTAAAGAACGAGGAGTACTTGTGCATCAGAGCCACTTTAGGCACTTAAGTTCAAAATTCAGATCTTCAAAACCCCACTCAGCTGCCACCTTATTCTGAAGGTGCATAAAGTCCGTATGTGCCTAAGTTTATGCCATTAAAGTACACTGCCTGTGAGCATGTGCACAGGCACCTACGTCCTGAGGCAGACAGGATTTACAAACCAGGCATTCAGCTCCTGCTCCTGTTGGAATGTGGATGCAGCAGGCATGAGTCTGAAGTGGGAGCAGCAGCAGCTACACCTGGCTAGGAGTTTATGGGGCTCTGAACCTTCCCACAAGTAGCAGCAGCAGCACCCCGGGACCTGACAGAGCCAGAAGAATTAGCTCAGGTGGGAGACCCTGATCTGCCTCCTTCCTTCTCCATGAAGATTGGTTTCCGCTGCTGCTTCCCTCTCACCTCCAGGATGCAGAGTGAGTGAGTAAGGGTACAGCTACATTGCAATCAGAAGTGCGACTACGGCTCATATAGACATAGCTGAGCTAGCTTTGATCTAGCTACCTTGTCTGGCAATAGCAGTGAAGCTGCAGGTGACAACGGGCTGGCTGCTCTCATATATATCCTGGGTCCCCAGTGGGCTTGTAGAGCAAGCTTGGGTGTGTCTGCACAGGCTGCAGTCTCACTTCTGACTGCAGTGTAGACATACCCTCATAGGAGTCTGCTATGCCACAGCTCTTCCTCCTTTGCAGGGGGAAAGGGAGGCTCTGCACAGATTTGCTTTCTACTAGTCAGAATCCTGGTGAAGCAGAAGGGCCTTGTCAGTTCCCCTGCCCTTCTCGCACTCCATAGTGGGTGTGGGGAGGAGAGATGCTGGGAGCACAAGGGATGTTCTGCACACTGCACACGTGCACACATACACTCTTGTTTGGCTAGCTATGGACTTACTTGCAGATGTGGACTCCTCTGATTTATTCATCCCTATGCTGTGTTCTGTCACACACAATGATGCAGTGTCACTTCAGTGCATGATGACACATAGCCACCAGAATGAGTGAAATGCCCCTTCTGTACTGATCTACTATACTCACCGGGCTTTTCTAAGGCAGTCGTACAGCCTGCCTCTTCTGTGCTAAGGGAGTTTAAGGCATTCACAAACTAGTGGGGGTAGGACTATGCTGAACTGACTCCATTTCTGTCTATGTCCATTATTACATTAATGGAGAGGGGAAGCAAGTTAAAGGCTATTCAGACTGAAAATCTGTCATTTGCAGTAAAGGACTTAGTCCAGTTCCCTTCATGAAAACAAATGTGGTGAAGGCCAGTCTGGCTGCACTCCCACATGCTACACACTCACCTCTTCCTTCATGCAGAGCTTTGCTGAATGGCTTCAACTGCTTTTCATATGTAATGGCAGTTTGGGTGTAGTGGTGCCGTAAAGTGATCCATGTTTGTTCTAACCTTGCGATCTGTTCAATGCAAAGAAGAGAGTCCTATTTTCATTTTGCAACTATTCTTATGTAAAGCAACTATGCTGCTTCTGGCAGACACCAGAGGGTTAATTTGGATTGATCTGTATCATAATAATATGATACCATCTTTTGTTTAAGCCTATGCAACAATTTGCCTCTTCCACTGGATCCTGACATTAATAAGTAATAATACCTTGATACAACTTAATACCCCTGAATAAAACATCCTAGTATTTAGGCAAAATAATTGTGTGTTCCTTGGGAAAAAAGCCATAACCCAATGTTCTGTTCCCCTGAAGTGGCCCTTTATGGTCATCTAGGACAAGTTTCAAATCACCACAGACCAAGATACAGCTAACAAATTCCTCTCACTCAAAAATTAAAGCAGCATTCCTGGTGCCACATCTGGCAATCTCTCCTTGCAACTACTGTATCACTTTCCTTGTGTAGTAGTAAACTTTCAGCCAAACATATAGCTGATGCAATAACAGCATGTTTCTCTGATGAGTGATTTTAAAAGGGGCCCTAAACTTAGTTTTAATGCTGGGGGGGGAAACGTCAAATTTTTTTTTACTGGATTGACAAAAAAATAATTGCTGTACCATGTCCATTTGCACACAAAAAATGCACATTTCTTTGTTTACAGACCAGCTATTCTAAGTACTCCGTGTTTCTAAAGCTGTTATTCAAGGATTAGATATGAGAACTGTCTCACAACTGGCATGTGTGAGTGGAGAATTTTGTTTAGATAAATGTTTCTAGCTGAATTCAGATAACATCCATTCTTTTGGTATTTAGCATTTCTCTTTTTTACTGCTGGTTGCTCAACATTCTCTCATCAAAGTGTTAATCTCAAAAGGTCATCTATACCCTGCAGGATCATAAAAAAAGCTTTCACCAAAGAGCATAATAAAGATATATTCAAAAAAGGCAAATTTCTGTAACTGCAAAAAATAGTTGTTTGTTTCATAACAATTTTTTTTTTAATAGTACAGAAGAAATGTCTTGATGCTATCATACCCACGTTGCTTTAAAATAAACAGACTCTTGTTCTATAAAGCAAAGTTTTTTTCTAATGCTGGCATTGAAGGGAATGAGATTGTTACGATTAAAAGTATTGTAAGTTCATAATGGCTAAACATATCTTAGCTCTTATGACCATCTGTCTGTCTACATGGGGATGGGCATTCTATAATGCCCATTCCTGTCATCTCTAAGCACTTGTCTAAGGGCTTTAAAATGTTGAAAAAAATTAACTAACAAAAATTAAACTCTTTGAATACCATAAAGGGAACATTATTTTACCTGTGGCATTTCAAGTGCTTTCATGACAGCAGAGAATGCGTACAAATCCCCCAGGCAGTCCTTCAGTTCCACTGCTACCTGGATGATCCTGTTTAACGTCGCAGCCCTCTCTTCTAAGTTTCCTGTGCAGCCCAAAATATCCACAGCTATTCCGATTGCCATGGTGTTGTGTCTAGAGAGAAGCAAGTCAGTGATGTCTAGAGTAAACTAGTGAAATGATAGGATGTGATCAAATAACAAAGGCAATACTTAAAAGCCCTTAATGTCCCTAGGCAGGATTAAATGGATGTTACTGACAATGCTGCTGTTACATGGAGCTCAGTGACAATAGTACGCTTATGTGATATAGACCAACTATGTATTGGAGGCTTCAGGGTAACAGATCTGCCCTTATGTTACTGCACATCTGCGATGGGGTGTCCACCCCACACAGGGCCTGAAGGGATAAGGTGGCTAGGTAAGCCAATTAGCTACTTCAGCCGCACCTAGAGGAAGAGCCAGGGAGCAGGGATTAACGAGAAGAGGCTCAGCTGGACAGGAACAGGTGGGGCCTGTATTAAGCCCAGGAGCGAAGAGCAGCAAGGGGAAGTAGTTTGTAGTCACTGCCTGGGAGAAGGGAGGCGTGGTTGGGGCAAAGAGATAAGTAGCCTGCAGTTACTCCCTGGGAGGAGGGAGTTTGGGCTGGTAAACTCAGGGAAGGGGGAGAGCCAGAGAGCTAGGAAAGGCTCAGGGGAAAAGCAGCAAGGAATAGGATAGGGCAGACCTTGGCTGCTGAAGAGAGGGCCCCAGAGCAGGAACCTGGAGTAGAGGGCGGGCTCAGGTTCCCCTACCAGAATCAGACCCTTAATACCTGGTTTTTTCCTCCAAGCACTCTCTCCATGGAGTTGCCTGATGATCTCCACGAGTCCTCCTAAGCACAAAGCTGTACAATATCTCCGTGTCCCAATAAATTACCTCTCAGTGGATTTCAACGTAGTATACAAGAATACTGTAAAGTGTTTATTGGGGAAGGAGGGTATTTCTACCTGGAGATATAAGACACACCAATACCAACAACAGACTGAGACTCTAGCCAAGTGTCCCAGGAGTGAAGCACAATGTAACAAGAATGTATACCTTTCAATTATGTCCAAGCGCAGTTGGTGTCCATAGGGCAATGTAATGAGCTCCAGACCTGATCTCACTCCCATCCTCCTCCTCATCTCTTCAGAGACCTCTAGTATCCTAGCAACCTGTCAAGTGAAAAAGTTCTCACACACTGATCCAGGAAGTTGACTTATTTAAGGAAAGGAGGAGTTTGATTCATTCATAGTGTTACTCTAACTCGCTGTACAGCTAGAACACTAATATAAAGCCATTAAAAAATATCCCCATTAAACAGAAACATGCTGAGTACATTACACACAAGGAGGTTTTGTGCAGAACTTAGAAATGCTTTCCTTTAGTGAGTCCAGTATATGAAAACAAATAAGAATTATGGCCAAGAAATAAGGACTAATTCTTTGATCTGGTTTTTAAAAAACAACAACAGAAAACAAGCAGCATCATAAGGAGATTTTCTTCCAGAGAAGAGAGCTGTAGGGCTTGTGTCAAACCCACAACAGATCTGATCAAGCACTCTACCAAAAGCAGATCCCCACACATCCAACAAAAGCACGGAGTGGTCTCGTGGCTTGATCTTTGCTTTGACACTAATGCACTGTGGCCAAGATACTTAACCTCTTTGCCTCACTTTCCTCATCTGTAAAATACTGTAACAGTGCTTTTTCTTCACTCCACAGGGCTGTTGTGAGGATGAATTAATGTACACAAAGCATTCTGAATTTGGAAAGGACTATGTGAGTGCTCTGTGTCTGACAGTAATTCATACAAAAAAGCCCTCTATTTTCCCTCCCCACTGCATTAGTCCTTTGCCTTTCAAATACATAATGATTATTTGCAATTTGCTACATCTATAAGAACTATTAATCGCTATTAATCTTAATAATGTTCATATTATCTAATGAGTATTGTTTTAATGTTCATATGCTGACAAATTTCTAATCTAATCTGCCTTTCTATCGCCATAGCATCTAAGTGCCAACCTCTGTCTGCAGGACTGGATTAAGGCAATATGGAGCCCTAGGCACACCATGACACCGGGTACCCAGTGGCTTTGCCCCCCTGGACGATTCCCTCCCAGAGAGACAGGAGTGTTGGCACAGGGCCTCATGGAGAGGCCAGAGTTAATCTGCTTGGGTGAATGGATCAGACCCACTGCTCATCTCCTCCTACCATACATAGTTCCCGACTTGAGTGGAGTTAGTGTGTGCCACCAGAGCACTAGGCAGGGCCAGCTCTGGCTTTTTTGCCGCCCCAGGCAAAAAAGCCTCCGGCCGCCCCCCCCCCCCCCCGGGGGCTCCGCGCTCCCCCCCGGCGGCCGGGGGGAGGGCGGCCGGAGCCCCGGGGCGCAGGGCCGTCCTTAGCCATAGGCAGAACAGGCAGCCGCCTAGGGCACCACGCTACCTGGGGGCACCGCTCTGCCCGGAGCCCGGACAGATGGGAAGCAGTGGAGCATGTAAGAGCAGGGCTGCTGAGTCCGAGAGAAAGCCGAATGCAGCACAGTCGGAGGGAGGGGATTGGCTGCTGGGGTCTCTGGGAAGGGGAGGGGGTATGGGTGGGGGAAGGAACTCACCTGTGAGTGTGACTTTCCCCCAGCGTGAGGTGAGGCAGGCTCGGCGGCTCTGGCACCAGTATCCTTTGTTGTCCCCCATAACGTCCATTCTTCTCCCCCCCCCCAAGGAGCACCCTTCTCTCTCTCTCCCCCCCTCCCCTCCGGCAGGGCTGGGTTGGGTGAGGTGCTGGGGGGCGGGGGAAGGAATGAAAGTGTGATCGGTATGTGATCGGACCTGAGGGTTTTCTGCTGCTGTTGCTACTATGCACCCCAAGAGGTGGATTTTGGGGTCCTGCAGTTTTCCACCTATCTCCTCCTCTACTGCAGCTGTTGGACCAGCAGGCTGGGGGGTGAGCCAAGCATGAAAGCAGTATTGTGTTACCATTTAGATTGTCATTTAACAACTTTGTTTGCCAAAAATGCTTGCTAACAATCCTAAATTCAATTTCAATATTTTTTAAAAAAAAATCAATCTCTTAGCCAAAAACAGAAAATTAAGTTGTTGACAATTATTTGTGACAAGTTTGGTATGGGGCAGGGAGTGGGCCAGTTTTCATCAGAGAAACAAAAAATGTTGACTGACTTTCCTATAGCCCTGTTACTGCTAAATAGAGCCCTCCAACCACTGTAATATGCTCATCTCCTTACTAGT